GCACCACTCAATATTCTTCATGGCGGCAGAGTTTGGCTCAAGTTGTGGGATTGGTGTTGATGATGATGGATTGATTAATATGGAACAGCTGAAGCTAAAACTTGAGTTAATAAAAATTCCAATCGACCCATTTTATGTTCTTTCTCTGTTGCAGTAATGTCACCGGATTTGTTCGGATACAAGATCGATTGCTGGAACTTCTTCATCAACATGGAGGCTTTGCATGCTTCGACTTCGCTACAGGTACATATTTCAGTGACGGAATCAAAACTATGTTTGAGCCTTGAGGGGGTTAAAATGAATGTTTAATGAACGAGGGTGACTAAATTAAACAAGTTTATTAGGAAATTGCATTTAAGAGGATAATAACTAATATAGATAGAAAAAAGTATGAGATGGGTATGTAATAAAATATAAGTGGTCCTTAGTGAGATATATATATATATTTGTGTGTGTTGATCATTTGTAAAATCAGGTTAGGTGCTAATTAATTGTAATTAATTGTATGTGATATAGTGTCCTTATGTGTGACGATGACATGAGATCAGGGGAGATTGATAGCTATGATGCTGTTTTCCTGAGTGGCCATAAATTTCTTGGAGGTCCAGGATCCCCTGGCATCCTTCTGATGAGCAAAGCCTTTGTCAGTTGAGTTCTTATCCTCCATCAACTTGTGGAGGTGGAACTGTTAATTATGTCAATGGCTTCAATGAAAAGGTACCCTCTTACTATTTGCAATAGTCATTTTCTTTTGTGAACCAATAAAAGGTACCCTCTTACTATTTGCAATATTCATTTTCTTTTGTGAACCAATATTATCCTTAGTGCGAGCAATCCACTAAAATAAATGTTTGTATATTCATGATATAAGAAATTGAAAAAGTTATTTGTACGAGTTTGTACAAACTTATTTTACACACCACATGGCATAAAACTCACATTATTTAATATTATGTCAGTGTTACGTGGGTTCACATAGTACGTGACCCTGATGTGGCATATCATATGATATGTTACGTCAGTTTGTACAAACTTTCTTTCTAAGAGAATTTGTACGTCTAGTCTTTTTCATAAGAAATTTGGTTGATATTATATCTTTTAGTGAATTTGAACATGTACACCGACCAAAATTGCAGTGTTTGAAATATGGAAATACAATTAGGTTTTGTATCATTGATAGATTTTCCTTGTATAATTCATGCTCATCTCATTATGGCCATGGATGGACCCAAGAAGAGGTGAGTGGGGGCTACTGACCCGACTCATATATATAATTAATTTCTTTATGTATTTGTGTAACTTTTTTCTAATTTTGTAAAATTTGTTTTTCAAACTGACCCTACTCGACTAAAAGTAAAATCAGATTTTTTCCTATTTTTTATTAAACAACTTTTTCTGTATTAATTTCTTATTGTAATTGTCTGCTTTTTTCTATTTTTGTATAATAGTAGAACCAACCTTTTTCCACCGACACATCTTGTCCTTCGCCTTCAGGGTGCTTCTTCCAAGTTCCATTCCCTTTCCTGGCATCCCACAGCCACCATTTTTGGTTTCTTGGCTCATGCTATAGTACAATAAATACTTGCCCCCTCTTAACATTAAATATGGGTTCGTCCCTGATTATAGCATGTGAACTTTTTAATATATGCCCACAAGAATATATAGTTCCTCCGTTAGGATTTAATTTATTAATTGTGTCACTATGTTGACTTATGTTAGTTTAATTATCATCAATTGTAGGACACATTATATTTGGATGATATAGAAGGAAGAGAACATGCAGGAACTCCTCAAATTATTCAAACCGTTAGGGCAGCATTATCCTTTTGGGTAAAAGAATACATTGGCTATGAAATGATCAAGGCACAAGAAGACATTTACCTCCAAAGAGCCCTAGAGAGACTTCTCCCAAATCAAAACATAAAGGTTTTAGGAAATACAAGTGCCAAAAGACAAGCTTTATTTTCCTTCCTCATCTATTCCACTTCATATTCTTCCCAAGAAGAGGACATGAAAAACAAGAGAGGTAAGCCTCTTCATGGATCTTTTGTTGCAACTCTCCTCAATGACTTGTTTGGCATCCAAGCTCGTGGCGGGTGTGATTGCGCCGGTCCTTATGGTCATATTCTGCTTAATTTTGACAAAACCGAATCGCTTAAAATTCATTCCATCATACAAAAGGTATGTGTATTCTTTGCATATTTTGTTCATGTTAAATTTTCAATATTAAATACCGTCAATATAGGAACATATTTTATAATCAAGGTCTTAGATATAGCCAAATATATGATTTATGATTTANAAATAAAAATGGGAAAAATTGTCAGTTTTGAAATCCTGACTCGCAGTTAAGGGAGTTGACTGTAAGGATTTAGAAATACAGAGGGTTGACAAAGGATTTGAAAAGACAGGAAGTTGACTGTAAGGATTTAAAGAGTTTAGCAGGTTGACTGTAAAAATTTAAAAGTTTAGCATGTTGAGTAAAGATTTAGACTTCAAGAATTCAAACGTTTAGGGGGTTGATTAAGAACTTTAAAGTCTGGGACTAAATTGAAAAGAATGAAAAATATAAGGGATAAACAAGATTTTACATCTATTATTAATTATGATGTTTCAAGCATTACACTTTTATTTTGCATGCCCGTTTTAACAAGAACAAGTGTTATATGATATTATTACTTATATGTATATGCATGAAGGCATACATAATTCATTATGTGTTTGGATATTAGGATCTAATGTGTGTGTGGGATGCATTTTATCCTTCGGATTGAGACCACCTTTTATAGTACCTATCCCCCTCAGACATCAGCTAGAGATTATACTTAGCTTCATGTGTAGATTGAGATGGTCGGTACTATCGAGCAATTTAGATATCCTATTGGGATAGGACGGATGGCTACTGAGCTTCAGGGGGGATTTACACCCAGCAGACATTTTGGAATTATGTTTACACTAGGCGAGTATTGGCCTAGGTGGGACTGACTTTCAAGCAGGTATTAGCCTGAGATTGATTATCAGGTGAGTATTGGCTTGAGATGGTTTCACTAGGTGGGTATTGGCCTAGATGAGTATCTAGCTACTTGTCTGTGTTAGGGACCTTTTTATGAGAGGTATGACATAGTTCCTAGGGTACTGATGTGGTACAGATTCAGTAGTGGTATTATGATGTGTTTGAGCTTTATATGAGTTGCTATTACATCCTAAAATGCATTTATGTTTCCAAACCAAAAATTATTTTTGTATGAAATGTATTATCCGCTCACTAAGCTCCCCAGCTCACTGTTTTATGTTCCCCCCTCTCTGTAAGACCACAATTGGCCTAATCCTCTCTTTAAGACCATCCTCAAATTTCCTAGACATTTCTTCTTCACTCCTCGCGATACTTGGAGCAAATTTAGAAAGCTCCACAAATTTGTTCTTATACTCCTCTATAGTCATATTCCCTTCAGTCAACATCGAAAATTCTCTACTCTTATTTTTTTTATATACCCTGGGCTAGTAACGATTTAGGAACTTTTGTCTAAAATCATATGAGGAGTAACAATCTATACTTCCTTTGGGTGGACTGCCACCAACAATCAGTTCCTCTTGTCAAAAGAAACTACACAAACCTTAGTTTGTCCTCTTATGAATAATCCATTACCCTAAACACTTTCTTGGTATCCCTAACCCTCTCTCTGCTACCATGGGGTCACCCTCTCCACTGAACTTCTCTACACCTAATTTCTTGGCCCTTTCTAATGTATTTCTATTCCTCGAACTCCCCTATGTCTGGCTACCAGTGGCGTGGGTAAACAATCGGGTCAATTTCCCAATGGCTCTCTCCATCTTAGATTCACTCTCCAGAGAATGAATCTCCTACTCAATATCTTGTTCCCCCTCCAACCCTTCCATGTCGAGTCCTTGGGACGGGCTATAGAAGCCTTTCCCTCAATTCTCTCATCTTGATGCTCCCTTTGACCATGATGACCTATTATTTCTCTTACTGGTCACGTTTGCGGTCGGCCTCATTAACGCATGATGATATCTAGTAAAAAAACCCACTTGTACTTAGTCTCAAAATATATTATGCATGCTTATGCTAATGCACTCAGAATCAAAACCTAGACTCTGATACCAATTTGTCATGACCCCTCTTGGGTATTCCTATCCCCTTAGATCTGGGTGCTCCAGGAGACTCAGGATTCCAAGAAGAGGGTGAATATTTCGAAGACATTTCATAATAATCCTTTTATAATCATAAATGAAAAGTAGTACAATTGCATATTTCAAATGAAAGTTCTAAAGGTGGAAATATATAAAGTAAAAGTTCTGAAACAAAAGTTATAGAAATCTTATCACAAAATCATAGTATCAAAGTGCACTGCAATTTTACAAAATATGCTGATGATCATGCTTCAATGGCCAACCTAGAGCACAAAGTGTGCTCCGTAGGAACCCGCTCTACAATCCTCCCATAAAACTATGAGTGGGGAAGCCCAACAAACGGATAATACATTTGGTAAGAAATATTTTTTTTTTCTTTGAAAACATGAATGCATTTTAGAATGCAATAGCAACTCATATAAAGCTCAAACACATCATGATCATGCCAAAACGAAATCCATACTACTATCGAATCTGTACCACATCAGTACCCCAAGACCTATGTCATAACTCTCATAAAAAGGTCCCTGAAATGGACAAGTAGCTAAGTACTCATCTAGCCAATACCCGCCTAGTGAAACCATCTCAGCCCAATACTCGTCTGATAATCAATCTCAGGCCAATACCCATCTGAAAGTCAATCCCATCTAGGCCAATACCTGCCTAGTATAAACATAATCCCACCCAAGCCAATACCCATTGGGACATGATGGACACTTGACGAGCTCCAACCGGGATTTACACCGAGCGGGTATTGGCTTGGGTGGGATTGACTTTCAATGTATTGGGCTGAGGTTGATTATAAAATAATAATAACATGAACATTTATACATTATGGTGGTGGTTGTTAATGAAGGAAAAAATTAACACTTACTATATATATATATATAAAACAAGGTTTAATCGAATGGTCTCATCACGTTAACATATTGAGGTGGTTAGACTCTAAAGAACAAGATATCAGGATCTATGTCTTCCGGTAAACTTTGCTGAGGAGGGAACTTGGGAAGAAGACTAGCAACTTTTTTAGCAGCATCAAAATAAGATGAATAAGTATAAATCATTCCAAGATGTTTGACATCAGCACTATGTAAATACTCTTTAGGCATCCCAATTTCTTGAATGGCCTTAGCCAGTGGCTTGAAATGAGTTTTGTTTTTGTTTCCCTTGCCAATTATCAAGTTCTTATGTGCCTCATCGAAGCACCAGTTACCAGATTTCAAATTGAAACGATATAATGGAAGAAATCTTTGACCATATAAAGCTATAAACTCCAATGCAGCTAGAATGAACTCAAATTCCTCGTTCGACATGTAGAAAGGGAAGCTAATTCTCGTCCATCCTGGTTTGAGTCCGACGTAACCCTGCAAATAAGTTGAATTTAAGCATCAAACGGTATCGGAAGTAACTTACTCCTATTTAATGTTAACCCTAAATCATGGAAAAACTAGCAAGGGTCAAGGGGGCAATTGCCCCCCTTCATTAAAAAATATTCATATATATACCAAATTTTTATCCCCTATTATGTTTAAATTAAATTCTTCACATTCAAAATTCACTAGCTTCCAACTCCTTTTTCCTATTTCTTTTTCTTATCAATACAAAGTCTTAAAAGTTCTTAGTAAATATAACATTCTCAATTGAATTATTACCATAAACAATTATTACTCTATTTTAATTTTATAAGTTTGCAACAATGATAATTAATTTTTTTGGTATTAACGACAAGTTATATATCATATGTTTTTAAAATTCGAAACTTTATCAAAAACAACCATAAATACATTAATTAGAATATTATATATGTATATAAATTTTTTTTACAGTTCCATAAATTTGCCTCTCCTAAATCATATATCTGGCTACATCTATGACCTTGATTATAAAATATGTTCCCATATTGACGATATTTACTATTGAAAATTTAACAACATGAACAAAATATGCGAAGAATACACATACCTTTTGTATGATGGAATGAATTTTAAGTGATTCAGTTTTGTCGAAATTAAGCAGAATATGACCATAAGGACTGGCGCAATCACACCCGCCGCGAGCTTGGATGCCAAACAAGTCATTTAAGAGAGTTGCAACAAAAGATCCATGANATCTGATTATCATTTTCTAATATCTGATTAATGTACATATTGAAGTTTATACAGATTGGTTGTCCATGTATTGTTATTGCTGTGGTTTGGCTGTGTGTTGAGTTAGTTTGCAGGTGGACCTATCAATATGTTCACAAGATTTATGTTTATGCATATTTTGATTTTTCCTCCCTTAACTATATGGAAATTCATGCTACGGGTTGGTTAAATTGGTAATTGGTTTGTATACTCGGCTGGAATGTGATTCTTTTGATGTAGGAAAATTCCTTTGGGTTTAAATTATATATATATATATACAGTAAAATCTCTATATAGAAATAAACTCTACATAGTCATAAAAAATTCTAGTCCCAATTTGGGATAGTTATAAATAAGGATAAACTCTACATTGTAATAAGTTATAATTTTTCTAATTCCCGCCTTAAGGAAAGTTGCCTCTACATAGTAATAATTATCTGTATATTACAAAAAAATATATGTTATGTAAAATTAAAGGTTTAAAATGAAATAAAATATTTATTTATAATTGTTTGTGACAATGATTTATGTTTTAGAGTTGTTATCACATCTTTTACCTTACGAATACGTAGTAGCTCATTAGCATGAATACCTTCTTCTTGAAGCCAACATATTTTTAGTTTCTCAAGCATGTTTAGAGCTTCATGACACAAGACTTTTTGTATTTCTATACTATTATCCTTAGGATTATCTCCTTTCTCTTCTTGTTTAATTGCAACAATGATTTCCCCTTTGGTTAAAGTATACACAATTTGTTGCTCATTTGGATAATCGAAGAATACATTTTTATCCATTCGATTAGTGTACTGAATTTGTCAAATCTGATCACTCAATTCTATAGTGACTCTTTTATTCTCCTTGTCCACTTCATTTGTAACTTACAATTCATTGACATTAGTGGTCCTAATTTGCAACGCTTAAAACCATTGACAATTGTCTGTGGCTTCATATCAATTGACCATGCATCAACTGTATTTACAGTTTCATCAATGACACTTATTTTTGTTGGTTCTAAGAAACGATCTTTTATCTATTTCAAAAGTAGGTAATTAAAACGCTGTATTAAAATTTTAATATTACTAAAATATGAATTGAAATCCTAATATTGTACTACTAAAACATGAATTATAAAATAAGAAATAAAAAAAAAATTTGTAACTACATTGTAACGCCCAACATGGAGGTACATAATTTAAATTATGTTTTATAGCCCTTAGTTAATTTTTGCTAGAATTATTTTAAGAGAATATGAAGAAAATGCCTTAAACTTATATTAAGGGTAAAATAGTCTTTTCACTCAAAATTGGTTAAAATTGTGGGGAGTGAAAAGAGATAGAATTTCATAGAGAATACAATAAAAATGAGGGCATTATGGTAATTGACTAAGGGACAAGGATGAAATTTCTAAAAAAGTATAAGGGCAAAATGGGAAAGCATGTTTACAAAATAAGATGATAAGGGTTTGTAACCCTTATTTCCTTCATTCCACTGCCACACTTCAAATTTTCATTCACTTCTCCAAGGAATTTGAGGGCTTTTAAGTAGATTTTCATAGAGTTTTGATTCTAAGCATCAGAAGGTAAGAATTCATGCTCTTTATCTATGATTTATTTATGTAAGAGTTGAGTTCTTATGAAGTTTATGCTTAGGGTTAAGAGAAGATTTGAATCCAACAAGAGTAGAGAGCTTCGGAGAGATTACTCAAGCATAAGGTAAGTAAATTCCACTCAACAACCAACCCATTTACAGTGTTATAGAAAATCAAGTGAGTAGATTTCCTTAAATATATATGTTATGATTATTGAGAAATTGAGATGAGATGGATGTTATTATCTTGTTTTGGATATATTGAATGAGGAGTGTATGTGATGGTTTGATGTGGGTTAAATTGGAAGAATAGAGAAATCTTTTGGAGTGTTTGTGCCGTGTAGGTATGGTGATGATATAAGAGAGTTTTTCTCTCAATTTGGGTGGTTTAAGAAACCAATAGAATGATAATTAAATTAGGGTTTTTTCATGCACAATTATTGTTTGATGAATGCCTAAGTGAAGTATGAGTTGGGTAGAAACCTTAATTTTATGAATATTGCATATGGCATTTCATAAGTGCATTTAGTAAGAAATTTTAAGCATGAGCCATCCATATGCTATAATTGTGTTGTGTAGAAACTTAAGAAAGAATAAAGAATAAAGAATGAAGAATAAAGAATAAGAAGAAAGAATAAAACACTCTAAGATAAGAGAAGAAGAATAAGTCATTAAAGAATTAGAGTGTTAAAAAGAGAAAAGAATGGTTGTTGTGATGGGAACCTGATGTTAAGAAAATTCCCACTACAACCACTTAATTGAGTGACATAAGAAGAAGAAGATTGTCACCGTAAGAGTGTATGTGGATGAGAGTTTACCAAAAAGAATTTATACATGCACGCCACCTTAATTGAGTGCCTAGAGAAAAAAAAAGAAGAATTCGTACGGTCCGCAAGAGTGCATGTAGCTGGACTGTACTCACTCACACGGCCAAGGTTCCAAATCCATACATCACCGAGTTGATCGGCAAAGAATAAGAAAAGAAAGAAGAACAAGAACAAGATAAAAAGAATGAGAAGGCTTGAAAAGCCAAGAAAAAGAAAAAAGAAAAAAAAGAAAGAAGAAAGAAAAGAAAAGAAAGAAGAATAGAACAAGAAATAAAATAAAAAAAAAGCATTTTATGCATTATTGCATATGCATTTTATTCATGCATATTGCCATGAATTTCATCATGGTTAGGAAGAATAGAAAATAGGAAGAAAGAGCAAGAGGAGTAGAAAGAAAGAAAAGAACAGTGAGAGTTGAACAAGAAGAAAGAGAAGGATTAAAAGGAAAGAACCTAGAAGGAAAAGAGTTAAGGGTTTTACTTACTGAGCATTTTTATGCTCACCCCGTTGTTTTTTCATATTTTTGCAGGAAATAGGTGAGCAGGGTCGGAAGGACTCGACAAGCGAGGAGGATTGCCATTACTGTCCACTGTCGCTAAGTTTTTTACTTGTTATTTTGATATATGTAAAGAATTATGTTTTTTAAGTAAAGAAAAATTTGGGCCCAACTATTTTCATATACTAATATGTATGTTTTAATTGTATATGTTCTAAAGTATACTAGTAAAGCAGTTATTACATACACCTCCATTAAGTTATAACCTCTTATAGTAATAAAATTAGTAATCCCAACATTATGACTATAGAGAAGGTTCTCTATATATATATTATGCTTGGTTTGCAACTGGGAGTGTTAAATATAAATAAAAATGGGAAATTGTCAGTTTTGAAATCTTGACTCGCAGTTAGGGAGTTGATTGTAAGGATTTAGAAATACAGAGGTTGACAAAGGTATATATATATATATATATATATTCGTTGGTTTGCAACTGGGGTGTTAAATATAATAAAAATGGGAAAAATTGTCAGTTTTGAAATCCTGACTCGCAGTTAAGGGGGTTGACTGTAAGGATTTAGAAATACAGAGGGTTGACAAAGGATTTGAAAAGACAGGAATTTGACTGTAAGGATTTAAAGAGTTTAGCGGGTTGACTGTAAAAATTTAAAAGTTTAGCATGTTGAGTAAAGATTTAGACTTCAAGAATTCAAACGTTTGGGGGTTGATTAGAACTTTAAAGTCTGGGACTAAATTGAAAAGAATGAAAAATATAAGGATAAACAAGATTTTACATCTATTTATTATGATGTTTCAAGCATTGCACTTTATTTTGCATGCCCGTTTTAACGGAACATGTTTATATGAATTATTATAAATATATGCATGAAGGCATACATAATTCATTATGTGTTTGGATATTAGTCTAATATGTGTGTGGATGCATTTTATCCTTCGAATTGAGACCACTTTTTTATACCTATCCCCCTCAGACATCACTAGAGATTATACTTAGCTTCATGTGTAGATTGAGGGTCGTACTATTGAGCAATTTAGATATCCTATTGGGATAGGACGATGCTACTGACTTCAGGGGGATTTACACCCAGCAGACATTTTGGAATTATGTTTACACTGGCGAGTATTGGCCTAGGTGGGATTGACTTTCAAGCAGGTATTAGCCTGAGATTGATCATTAGGTGAGTATTGGCTTGAGATGGTTTCACTAGGTGGGTATTGGCCTAGATGAGTTCTAGCACTTGTCTGTGTTAGGGACCTTTTATAGAGGTATGACATAGTTCCTGGGGTCTGATGTGGTACAGATTCAGTAGTGGTATTATGATTGTTTGAGCTTTATATAGTTGCTATTACATCCTAAAATGCATTTATGTTTCAAACAAAAATTATTTTTGTATAAATGTATATTCTGCTCACTAAGCTCCCCAGCTCACTGTTTTATGTTTCCCCTCTCTGTAAGACCACAATTGACCTAATCCTCTCTTAAGACCATCCTAAATTTCCTAGACTTTTCTTCTCTCTCCTCGTGATACTTGGAGCAATTTAGAAAGCTCCACAAATTGTTCTATACTCCTCTATAGTCATATTCCCTCAGTCAACATCGAAAATTCTCTCTCTTATTTTTTTATAACCCTGGGCTAGTAACGATTTAGGAACTTTTGTCTAAAATCATATGAGGAGTAACAATCTATACTTCCTTTGGTGGACTGCCACCAACAATCAGTCCCTCTTGTCAAAAGAAACTACACAAACCTCAGTTTTTCCTCTATGAATAATCCATTACCCTAACACTTTCTTGGTATCCCTAACCATCTCTTTGCTACCATGGGGTCACCCTCTCCACTGAACTTCTCTACCCTAATTTCTTGCCCTTTCTAATGTATTTCTGTTCCTCAACTCCCCTATGTTTGGCTACCATGGCGTGGGTAAACAATCGGGTCAATTTCCAATGGCTCTCTCCATCTTAGATTCACTCTCCAGGAATGAATCTCCTACTCAATATCTTGTTCCCCCTCCAACCCTTCCATGTGAGTCCTTGGACGGCTGTAAGCCTCCCCTAATTCTCTCATCTATGTCCCCTTTGACCATGATGCCTATTATTTCTCTTACTGGTCAGTTTCGGTCGGCCTCATTAACGCATGATGATATCTAGTAAAAAAACCCACTTGTACTAGTCTCAAAATATGTTTGCTGCTTATGCTAATGCACTCAAATCAAAACCTAGACTCTGATACCAATTTGTCATGACCCCTTCGTGGTATTCCTATCCCCTCATCTGGGTGCTCCAGGAGACTCAGGATTCCAAGAAGAGGGTGAATATTCGAAACATTTCATAATAATCCTTTATAAATATAATGAAAATTAGTACAATTGCATATTTCAAATGAAAGTTCTAAGGTGGAAATATATAAGTAAAAGTTTGAAACAAAAGTTATAGAAATCTTATCACAAATCATAGTATCAAAGTGCACTCAATTTTAAAAATATGCTGATGATCATGCGTCAATGGCCAACCTAGAGCACAAAGTGTGCTCCAGGAACCCCTCTACAATCCTCCCATAAAACTATGAGTGGGGAAGCCCAACAAACTATACATTTGGTAAGAAATTTTTTTTTTTCTTTGAAACATGAATGCATTTTAGAATGCAATAGCAACTCATTAAAGCTCAAACACATCATGACACTGCCAAAACGAATCCATACTACTATCGAATTGTACCACATCAGTACCCAGACCTATGTCATAACTCTCATAAAAAGGTCCCTGAAATGGACAAGTAGCTAAGTACTCATCAGCCAATACCCGCCTAGTGAAACCATCTCAGCCCAATACCGTCTGATAATCAATCTCAGCCAATACCCATCTGAAAGTCAATCCCATCTAGGCCAATACCTGCCTGTATAACATAATCCCCCCAAGCCAATACCCTTGGGACATGATGGACACTTGACGAGCTCCAACCGGGATTTACACCGAGCGGGTTTGGCTTGGGTGGGATTGACTTTCAATGTATTGGGCTGAGGTTGATTATAAAATAATAATAACATACATTTATACTTATGGTGGTGGTTGTTAATGAAGGAAAAAATTAACCCTTACTATATATATATATATAAAACAAGGTTTAATCGAATGGTCTCATCACTTAACATATTGAGTGGTTAGACCTAAAGAACAAGATAGGATCTATGTCTTCCGTAAACTTTGCGGAGGGGGACTTGGGAAGAAGACTAGCAACTTTTTAGCAGCATCAATAAGATGAATAAGTATAAATCTTCCAAGATGTTTGACATCAGCATATGTAAATACTCTTAGTGCATCCCAATTTCTTGATGGCCTTAGCCAGTGCTTGAAATGAGTTTTGTTTTTGTTTCCCTTGCCAATTATCAAGTTCTTATGTGCCTCATGAAGCACCAGTTACCAGATTTCAAATTGAACGATATAATGGAAGAAATCTTTGACCATATAAGCATAACTCAAATGCAGCTAGAATGAACTCAATTCCTCGTTCGACATGTAGAAAGGGAAGCTAATCTCGTCCATCCTGGTTTGAGTCCGACGTAACCCTGCAATAAGTTGAATTTAAGCATCAAACGGTATCGGAAGTAACTTACTCCATTTAATGTTAACCCTAAATCATGGAAAAACTAAAGGGTCAAGGGGGCAATTGCCCCCCTTCTTAAAAAATATTCATATATATACCAAATTTTTATCCCCTATTATGTTTAAATTAAATTCTTCACATTCAAAATTCACAGCTTCCAACTCCTTTTTCCTATTTCTTTTTCTTATCAATACAAAGTCTTAAAAGTTCTTAGTAAATATAACATTCTCAATTGAATTATTAGCAAAAACAATTATTAGTACCTATTTTAATTTTATAAGTTTGCAACAATGATAATTAATTTTTTGGTATAACGACAAGTTATATATCATATGTTTTTAAATACGAAACTTTATCAAAAACAACCAAAATCATTAATTAGAAATTATATATGTATATAAATTTTTTTTACAGTTCCATAATTGCCCCTCCTAAATCATATATCTGGCTACATCTATGACCTGATTATAAAATATGTTCCCATTTGCGATTTTACTATTGAAAATTAACACATGACAAAATATGCGAAGAATACACATACCTTTTGTATGATGGAATGAATTTTAAGTGATTCGTTTTGTCGAAATTAAGCAGAATATGACCATAAGGACTGGCGCAATCACACCCGCCGCGAGCTTGGATGCCAAACAAGTCATTTAAGGAGTTGCAACAAAAGATCCATGAAGAGGCTTACCTCTCTTGTTTTTCATTTCCTCTTCTTGGGAAGATATGAAGTGGAATATATTAAGAAGGAAATAAAGCTTGTCTTTTGGCACTTGTATTTCCTAAAACCTTTATGTTTTGATTTGGGAGAAGCCTCTCTAGGGCTCTTTGGAGGTAAATGTCTTCTTGTGCCTGATACAACACTCATAGCCAATGTATTCTTTTACCCAAAAGGCTAATGCTGCTCTAACGGTTTGAATAAATGGAGGAGTTCCAGCATTTTCTCTTCCTTCTATATCTTCCAAATATATAGTGTCCTACAATTGATAATAATTAAACTAACATAAGTTAACATAGTGACACAATTAGTAAATGAAATCCAATAAAACTAAATCCTAACCAAGGAACTATATATTCTTGTAGGCATATATTAAAAAGTTGTTTAGTTAAAAATAGGAAAAAATATGATTTTACTTTTAGTCGAGTAGGGTCAGTTTGAAAAACAAATTTTACAAAATTTAGAAAAAAGATACACAAATACATAAAGAAATATGTATATATATCCACTCACCTCTTCTTGGGTCCATCCATGGCCATAATGAGATGAGCGTGAATTATATATGGAAAATGTGTCAATGATACTAAATTTTGTATTTCCATATTGCAAATACTGAAATTTCGCAGGTGTACATGTTCAAATTCACTCAAAGATAAAATATCAACCAAATTTTTATATCATGAATCTGCAAACATTGTTTGTTGATGGATTCCTCGTATTAAGAATAATATTGGTTCGGATTTTAAGAAAATAAGAACGATCGCAAAAGAAAATGAATATTGCAAATAGTATGAGGTACCTTTTCATTGAAGCCATTGACATAATTAACAGTTCCACCTCCACAAGTTGATGGAGGATAAGAACTCAACTGATAAAGGGCTTTGCTCATCAGAAGGATGCCAGGGGATCCTGGACCTCCAAGAAATTTATGGCCACTCAGGAAAACAGCATCATAGCCATCAATCTCCCCTGATCTCATGTCTATCTCCACATAAGGACCACTATATCATCATACAAATTAATTACAATTAATTAGCACCTAATTGATTTTACAATGATCAACACACACAAATATATATATATCTCACTAAGGACCACTTATATATTTATTATATACCCGATCTCATACTTTTTTCTATCTATATTAGTTATTATCCTCTTAAATGCAATTTCCTAATAAATTTGTTTAATTTTAGTCACCCTCGTTCATTAAACATTACATTTTAACCCCCTCATGGCTCAAACATAGTTTTCTGATTCCGTCACTGAAATATGTACCTTGTAGCGAAGTCAAAGCATGCAAAGCCTCCATATTGATGAAGAAGTCTAGCAATCGATCTTGTATCCGAACAAATGCCTGTGACATTACTGCAAGCAGAGAAAGAACATAAAATGGGTCGATTGGAATTTTTATATAACTCAAGTTGTAGCTTCAGCTCTTCCATATTAATCAATCCATCATCATCAACACCAATCTCCACAACTTGAGCCAAACTCTGCCGCCATGAAAGAATATTTGAGTGGTGCTCATGAGGCCCTATAAAAACCACCCATCTTTCTTTATCACTTAGGCATTTTATGAGCCTTTCTCTCATGATCGGTGTCACTGCAATGCCTATAACCTCTTGAAGCTTTTTAATGGCGGCCGTCGCGCCTGACCCGCAAAATAATATTGCATCTTCTCTTCCCCCTCCTAAGCATTTTTTTGTGTAACGAGATGCTTCTTGTAGCATTTTGGTTGTTCGTTGTCCCGCATAGCTGTCCCGGCTGTGAGTGTTGCCTGTTCACAAAAGGGATGTTAATAGTAGCGAAGCCAGGATTTTGTTTCAGTGAAGCCAATTTACAAGAAAAGAATTGGAGTATAAAAAATTTTAGATTAAAAATACAGAATAGTAACCTTATAGATTGAACACAAGAGACATAGATTAATCTTTATTTATTTATTTATTTTTATTTTTTTCTTACTTTGAATGATGAAGACAATGCATTGAAAAGAAAGGGGAAGAAAACAAAACTTGGAATTATTAAAAATATTGGTTGTTTCGTTAATGTATTATATATTCAATATATAAGACACCAAAAAAAGAGCAAGCTTAAAATATATTCAGGGTTTAAGGAAAAAAATAAATAAAAAGATGATGCCAATATTGATTGATACTATTTCCATAAAATAAAATAAAATAAAGGGTGTTTATTGTTGAAATAAAAACATAGAAGGGATTAAATGAATTTTACAGAGTAAGTGGGGCCATGAGCCCCCACTCACTCCTTAGTGGCTCCATCCCTGCCCCTGGGGATGCATGTGTAAAATTTGTAAAGATGACGATGATAAATGAAAAATTGTGACGTTGAACACCTTGAATTAAGTGGAAAGTTGTTTGACACTGTGGAGTTTTCAAAAGAAATTCAAGGCGTATGTGTATGAGTTGATGAGGAATTCGACCAACAATTCGTTAACTTTAATTCTATACTTAATATGAATGTTTAAAATTAAGGTATTCTTATGGAAATAAATCCATACTTTATTTAAGAAATTCAAGTCAAATAAAACTGCTTTTGAGATTATTATATTTGTTTCTCAATAGATAGATTTATATATTTTCTCTCTCATTTTAATTTGATTTGTTTTATATTGATCATTTTTAGCTGTATAAGTACTTATCTAGAGACTGAACCCTTTATATATTCATGTTGACTGATTAAACTAAAAATACTGCAATTTTTGAAGAAGCAAAATATATATTTATGAGGAGGACGACCGACAATTCTTTTAACTTTTTTATACTTAATTTGAATGGTTAAAATTACATTTTTCTTACAAAAATAAATACAGACTTGATTTAAGAATTATATACGTATAAATACATATGTATATTAAATAAAATATCAAGAAATACTCAAAGCGCATCTTATGTTCTTAAATTTATTTTAACAAAAAAATGTACCTAATTTATATGCAAGCATAAGATATTATAACATCAATATATAGTAAAATAAAAAATCAAATTAGCTTACCATTGAATGGAAGAACATTGTTGATGATATAATCTTCAATATATCGAAGAGATCGACCAGACGCAACGTGATCGGCGTTGGTGAGTCTTCGTTTTCCGAAAGGAGAATCAAATTCAGCATCACCTCCAACTATCTGAGACTGCAGCCAAGCTACTCTTTCCTCCAATGACTCATTTCCCTTTGGCACTTCCATTTCATAAAAATCGTTTTTCTTTTGTGAAAAAGATGATGATGACGAAGATGAAGAACTAGCTTTTGTAGAAGTCTTGTTGTGCTTTCTGCTTCTAGCTTTGCCGAGACAACGCAGCCAAGATCGTTTAGCTTTTCCATTTTCATGGCTTTTGGCAACAGGGTTGTCTCCCAAATTTAGTTGCTCAAGTTTCATCATATGCTTAGAGAAGAAACCCTAATAAGTGTAGATAAATTTTCTTCTTTCTTGGCTTGGTGGCTTCTGAATCCATCCTTCGTTCAAGTTGTATATAAGTGTTGGGTAGCGGGCCAATACCGGACCATGACAATGACTAGGGGGCTGAATCATCTCGAGTCAGGGTTGATGGTTTAAGCGAATGCAATTGCTATACTAAAAGTTATAGTGCATGATCATGGCAATGAGTCAGCTAGAATTATTTCTAGTGGGCCTTGCCTAATAGATGAAAGATTAAATTATGTTTTCATATTTTTATATGTTTCTTTCTTATTTAATTTAATTCTTTTCCATTTTGGACGGAAATAAATTCTAATTCTTTAATAATTTGATTAAATTAATAATGTAACATACACAAACTGCATATGAGTAGGTATCAATATCAATTGATCGGATCTTATAAAGATCTTGGAGATCAAATTTTGCTTGCATCCAACATGATGACTACAAAAAATTTTTAGACAGATTCTTTTATATTGCTTGACGTGTTTTAAAATAATTTTGGTGATTTTAAATAAAATATAAAGTAAATTAGTTAAAAGAAGATTACATGTCAAACACATAGATTTGATTCATGCTACATATTTCAATACCGACATTAATTTGTTTTTTTCATCGGGAAAGATCTATTACGATGACCTATATATGACAACTTATCAATGCATCATTTTGCATCATTGTATGAGTAGCATAATGTGATTTGATGACATAATTTTTGCCTTGGAATATAGCAAATTTCTTCTAGTGTTTGTTTGTATGAAATAATTTGTATCAATAGTTTTTATATGTTCGGTGAGGGATTTTGAACTTATTTAATTTTTAATAGTATGAGTATATAATAATACAAGTATTAATAATATATAAACAAATTAAAGCAGAGTATTTCCTTTTTTTCTTTTTTTTTCTTTTTTAAAAGCACAACTTAGAAAAACCTAACCAGAATTCTTTCTCTTCTCTTCTTAATTTAGATTAGAAAAGAAAATATAATTATTTAATAGTTCGACCATAATCCCATATAACTATCTATATTTTATAATAAAAAGAACAGAAAAAATAATATGGGAGTAAATTGAGTGAAATTTAGAAGGAAAAAGTGATCCTAAGTTTTGGCTTTCCATAAATATCTATTTTATTGAAAAGAAAAGCGAAAAGAAGAATAAATTATAAAATATATTGCATTATTTTCAAAGTATCTTTATGATATGAAATTCATATTTGCTTTTTGATATATCATATTCTTATCATTAACCACGTTATTGTCCTTTTTAATGATTTTAATGAATAAAATGTTTTCCATTAACACTGCTTTTAAGCCACACTTTAATATTATCTTATAATAAACTAATAAATTATTTTAATTTCTCAAAATTTTTTGACCTTAATCTAATTTTACTTTAAAGATATATCATATTCTTATCATTAACCACGTTATTGTCCTTTTTAATGATTTGAATGAATAAAATGTTTTTAGTTAACATTATCTTATAATAAACTAACAAATTATTTTAATTTATCAAAATACGAGCTTTCTTGACCTTAATCTAATGTTACTTTAAAGCATAATTAGGACACTATAATCTAAAAGGGACCAAGCTATTACAACAAATATATATATATATATATTGACCAAAACTATTCTTAATAAAATAAAACGAGAAATTGTCATCTTGTCGCACTATTATGATGTTAAATTTTGAATTTTTTGAACTCACATCTATATTCTTACCTTTGTTAGTGCCTACAAAAATTTAAGACGTTTGTATTTAAAATTTATTTTATATATAATAAATTATTTTTAATTAAATTATTTCAAAAAATAAACATTTTTAATGAGAATGTCCTCCTCTTGATTTTTGTTTTTGCATAATTTTGTAGTAATGAATGGGGGTTGCACAATTTACAAGATTCATATATCAAATCATGCATGAGAGAGGATCCAAAAAATTAACTTCATGATTTCATCCAATAACTATTTAGTCTTTCAAAAAATGTAACATTTTAGACTATGTGGATTTGCCTATAATTAGGAAGAAAGCATTTTTGTCAACAAAAATCCCCATGCATTAAAACTGTCTTCATTTTCCACATTTTATTTTAGATTATTGTGTTTGCTCTGTAAAGTGTAAACACGAAACATTATTGATGGGGTTCACAAGAGGACTGCATTAATACACTCAATGATTGTACACTAATGCTTATCTAAAACAGTACTATATGAATAAATAATATCTAAATATTAATAAAAAAAGACTCCAATTTTATTGTTTTTATAAAAGAAATTTGGTCCAAAATAATCGGGGAAAAACTTAGGGGTAGTGGTGTGCAAAATTATCTGAAATCTAATCCTGATCCGATCTGAAAAACTTGGATATCCAAAAATCTGGATCGGATTCAGATAGTAAAAATAGAGAAATATGAATATTCTAATTGGATATAGATCGGCTGTTTCAAACAATCGGATATTTGTATCCAATCCGAATTTCATCAAAATGTTTTTACAAATCCCCCTTAAAACTTAACATTTAACACTTAACAATGAACACTTAAAATTTTTAATTAAAATCTATAAATAAAAATCTAAAACCTAAAACTAAAATCTAAAACTAAAAACTTAATCCTAAAACTAAATTCTCTCAAATCTCAATCTCGCTCTCTCGTCTGAGTCGTCTCTCCATCTCTGATCTCTCAACTCAACACCACCACGCAATACCCTCTTGAGAAAGTGAGCAATCTCTAAATCTCACCCTCTCGTCTCTCTATCTCTGATCTCTCAAGACCCACCACCCAATACCCCTTTGAGAAAGTGAGCAATCTCTCAATCTCACTCTTGATAGAGACCACATATTCAAACTTCGTGTAGCCAACAGTTTGTTAGGCTTGCATTGCATAAGAGAACTTCACGTAATGAAGCAGCCGGTGAGCTTCTTGCTGTAAAAAAACAAAGAGAAATGATGGGTTTGTTGACGGAAACAGGGGAAAAAAAAAAAAACAAAGAGTAGATGAGAAAGAAAGCGAGAAAAATAAGGCAAAAGAAAAAGAAAGGAGACTTGATGAATCAACATCTAATAGGAAAAGAATGAAAGAATAGGAATTGGGGAGGAAAAGAATAAAATTTGGATCAACTTTGGATATCCAGTTATCCAATCCAGATAATCGGATATCTGAAAAACCGAATATCCACATAATTCAGATCGAATCAGATATCCTGATTTGCACAACCCTAGTTAGGGGCATGACAAAATGGGATGTCGTATTAGGATTTGTATCACTTCCTGTAGAGGAGTAACAAAATTTTAGTTAGTCTTCCATGGTCCTAAGGATTAGACAAACTCCAATATAAGTCTGAATACCTCAATTACCTAAAAAATGGAAATTTAGTTAGTTTGAATATTATATTATTATTAGAAGGGTAACATGAATAGTATCCTCTAGAAACGTCTGTAGCCCTAGTATTGTTATGAAGAAAGGGTCAGACAATACGGTAAAGCTATCATAGTGTTGAATGACCTTATCAAAAGGCAGTGACTGATTTCACTTATCAAGGTTGTTTGGTGACAACTTGGTGCAACATATGGGTGCTTGCTGTAGGCAAGTTCACTGGACTGACCTACCAGAGGATTCCATATGGATGTTAACCCCAATGTCTATAGAACAAATCTTTTAATGAATGGTGGTGCGTGTGATCCTTAGACTTGAGATCACTTGAGTGCCTCCGATTGGTGCAGTTTGACACTAGCCCAACACAGTTCTATTCAGAGCTGTCAAGACGATAGTGATTGGCTACATCAAGGAGTGTGTCAAGACTATAGTGGATCGACAAAGGATTCATCACTCCAGAGTATGAGAGAAGTTATCTCACAGCGCCATTCAGTAAATGACAATGACAGTAAAACTGTGGCCATAGTGGGATTGAGTTATTACTCTATCCAGTTTATAATTCAGGTCATTGGTCTAGTAACTGAATACATAATATTGAGAGTAACCGAGGTTGACACTATTTCTATGCCTCGGTCTCGTCGAGATAACGAATGATGAAATGATTGAATTGTACGGTAACCATATCGTCGACAAGTAGCTGCTACGTTGAATCCGAATATATCGGGTGGCCATGATGCCTTGCTAGGACCCAATCTTGGTCTGTGCGTAGTGAAACAATTAATTGGTATTAATCACGATACTACACACTGTCGGTATGATAAGGAGCCTATGGGTCACGCACAGAAGATAATTTAAGAACCAGTTTGTAAGAAGGGCATTTTCGTCCTTTTAGGTGAAATGGTATTTTGGTAATTTCACAATGCAATTAAATTTGCTGAGGTCGTAGCCTTTGTTTAATTTGTTAATTAAATTAAATAAGTGAAATTATATTTAAATATGTGTTCACATATATTTAAATAAATTATTGTTATTGTTAAATGTTAATATATGAAATATATATATTAATTGAAATAACAATAATAATTAAAATTAGAATATCTTAAAGGGCCTGTTTGGATACAAGGGGTGTTTGGGTTGGAGCCCAAGCCTATTTCATGATGGAATAGGGCAAAGTGTGCACTATATATGTGCAACACTTTGTGAGAAATAATTAATTCTTTCTTTCAATCATTTAGACTAAAAGTTCCAGCCCTTTTCTTCTCTCTCACACCAGTTTGCATTTTTGCTTGAAATCAAATTTCATTTGATTTTCTTCTTGGTTCTTAAAGGCTAAAGAGGATCTAACAAATCTCTCTTTAGTTCTTTGAGTTTGTCTTCGTGTGGACAACATTGGTTTGATCTTACACTTGGGTCGGTAGCGAAACCCATTCCGAGATAAATTGGAGGAGCCTCCAAACGTGGGTATGGTTTCTTAAATGTTAAACTGATTTTTCTGCAGTTTGTATTATAATGTATAAGCTGTAATTTTTGTGCCTTGATCTTGGTTCTAAGGAATGATCTATAAGGTTTAAAATTTTTGTTTCCACTGCCATGTATGATCGTTTTATTAACAGTGGTATCAAAGCCTAGGGTACTAGATTTTACAGTTTTTGTGAATGGTTGATTACATGTATTTG